AAAACGGGAACCTACCAGGTAGCTTCCTCCTTGGGTTTTACATGAAATGGGGTGAGAAATGGCCAGCAAATCCTATAGTGTAAGCTCTACTTCTGAAACAAGATGACGAGGTGACCGTTTATGGCCCACACACGTTAGAGGAAGAGTTTCTAAATATATGACAATATGTGCCTGTACCCTTTTCCATGCATCTCTGCCAGCAGTGGGTGTTATCACTTTTTTATGTTTTTTTAATCACTTTTTTAATGTTTCATGACAACTGCTTGAAAACTTTTGTTCAATTTTAGAAAATACTGGAAATGGTGGACAAATTAAACTGTCTAATTTCACCAGTTTTCTGATTTCCATGACAATTTCAACAACCATAAGATGATACTCAGATACACGTGGTCTCTCTTTTTTCTTGTTGTTGTTGTCATTGTCTTGTGTGTGAAGTGACAGCTCATCGTTATTGAAACTCACACTCTCTGGGCTCATGGGGACTGTATTTCCATATGTCCTTTGACTCTTGATTCTGAGACTTGCCTGTTCATATCCTTTCTCAATTTTCCATTTACCTTGTTTGTCTTTTTCTTATCAATGTGTGGAAGCTCTTTATAGATGAAGGTACTAACCCTTCTCAGACAACTAACTGATCTTTACTTATTGGTTTTGTCTATAATATTATTTCCCTAAAATTTTTGTTAGTTTATATATAATCAGCTATTTCTGTCTTTTCATTCATGCTTTCTTAGTTTCCTGTCTTAGTTTAAAAAAAGGGTTTTTAACCCCAAGTTGTAAAAATAGCCTTGTAAATTCCTTCTGCAATTTGTATTCGTTTTTTGTTTGGGTTTTTTTTTTGTTTTTTTTTTATCTTTAGCACATCTGGAAATTTTTTTTTTCTGCAGCACAGAAATATTTCACTCAACCACATCTCTATCAAAAGTGGGGAAAGGAAAGATAGACCTAAGGGTCACCTGTGTCTCACACCCATGTGTCGCACTGACTCAGGCCATGGCCTGGCCCCTAGGCCTTCGGGTGTTCCATCCCTGGTGTGGTTTTTCTGGTTTTCTGCTGTGGTCTGAGCTTGGTCAGAGGAGAAGCCCTGGAAAAGCACTGCCCTCTTGTGGCTATCATGGTCATAGCAGCTCCTATCTGAAGAAAAGTTCATCTCTTAAAGCCAAAAGCAGCATCCACTCACATGTCAGTGCTTCAAGCTCTCCAGCAATATACACCCAAAAGAATTGAAACCAGGGACTCAAATAGATACTTGTGCACCCACGTTCATAGCAGCATGATTCACAATAGCCAAAAGGCAGAAACAACCCAAGTGTCCATTGATGGATGAGTGGATAAACAAAATGTGGTCCATCCACACAATGGAACATTACTCAGCCTTAAAAAGGAAGGAAATTCTGACACCTGCTACAATGTGGGTGAACCTTGAGGACATTACACTCAGTGAAATAAGCCAGTTACAAAAGAACAAATATTGCATGATGCCACCTATACGAGGGACTTAGAATAGGCAAATTCATAGACAGGAAGTTGAATAGATCTCACCAGGGGCTGGGGGAGGGGAGTGGGGACTTAGTGTTTAATGAGGACAGAGTTTCTGTTTGGGCTGATGAGAGAGTTCTGGAGATGGATGGTGGTGACAGTTGCACAAACTGTAAATGTACTTAATGCCACTGACCTGTATACTTAAAAATGGTTAGAATGGTCAATCTCACATTGTGTAAGTTTTACCACCAAGGAAAGCAGGAACGGGTGGTGCAGGCAGAGGGGCCCTCCCTGGAGGTGAGACCAGGGTACACAGCTGAGGGGTCAGCGTCCAGGAGGCCAATGAGGACCCCAGCAGTGGGAGGATGGGGCAGTGGGGATGGAGGCCAGGGTACAGAGGGTGAGGAAGCACAGAGGGTAGACAGCATTCTCAAGCAACTGGACCATAAGAGGGAAAAGCAGGACAGGGAGACAGGGAGGGGGCAGTGGAGTCAGAGGAGAGGCCTGAGAGGGGTTATATTCTGGGCAGGGGGGAGCCTGGAAGAAGAGCGATAGAGAAAGGGAAGGCAGAGGAGAGAGAAGGAGAGACTGAGAGATAAAGACGAAGTAAGACAGAGAGAGGCAGAGAGAGCAGCCCCTCCTGGACATACAACCCTAAGCCCACCTTCCCTCCCAGCCCCGCCTGGCGATGGCGTCTAGGTGGGTCTCCGGGGCTCCCGCACCCTCTCAGCCATCTGGCCCCCACCTCTGCACCTTCATTCCCTACTTAAACCCCTCCAGTGGGGCCTGTCAATCACATTTACAGTCTGTGCCCCCAAAGCCCTGCAGATCCGTGCCCTGCCAGCCTCACCTGCTATGACTGTCCCCCTCCAGCCACACCGGCCTCCTCCTCTTCCTCAAGCACATGGAGTTCTGTCCTGTCTCCTAACCTTTGCCCTTCTGGTTGCTGCCGCCTGGAATGCCCTTCCTCCAGATCTTCATGTACACGCCTGGCTCCTGCTGGGCATTCAGGTCTCACCTCCCGTGGCCCTCCCTGAGCCTCCTGGCTAAGGCAGCTGCCACCCCCACCCAGCCTCAGTCACATCACGGTGTTTACTTCCTGTCACGGTTAACACCATCTGAAATTACCTGTAGTTCTGTTTCCGGGTTCACAGTTTGCCTCGTCCACTGGAGTGTGAGCTGCCCCAGAACAGGGGGTGGTGTCTTCTTCTCCATCATCCCACATCTGCAAAAGTGCCCGGCATACAGTAGGCGCTCAATAAATGTGTGTTGCATTGAATAAATAATCATCTGGCTACAGGATGTGTTGTGCATGCCGATCTGTGTGCTTCCCTGTCTCCTAGTGTCCTGTGTGTGTCTTGTGTTTGTGGGTTTCTGTGGACGGTCCTGTGTGCGTCCCTGAGGACACGTGTGGAGTTCTGGGTTAGTGAGGGTTTGTGTTGAGTGGTCTGTGGGTCTGTGTGTTTGTGGCTTTTCGGGGGTGTCACATGGCACCCGGTGTGTCAGTGTCTCTGTGTGTGTGTTCGTGTGTGTATATGTTTGTGCATGTGTTTCAGTCGTTATGTAGCCACATGTATGTCCAGGGGCATTCACTGCGTGTGTGGCTTCGTGTCCACTCTGTGTGTCCACATGATGGTGTGCGCTCTTGTGTGACCGTGTATCCATGAGCACACATGTCTGTGTTTGTGTGTCTCCTTGCATGCCCCTCTCTTGGTGTGGAATCCCTGTGGATTCATGCTTCTGGGCCCCACAGGCCTGTTGTGCCTGCTGTGTCTCTCGTGTCCTGTGTGTGCTTCTGCCTCCATGTGTGTGACTGTACCTAGTGTCACAAATGCACGTGTTTGCCTGCTTGCAGTGGTGTGCTGGTAAATGTTTAACAACCAGCTCTCTCGGATTTGCCAATTCCTGAGGTGTAAATACTTTCACCATGGCCAATTTCCAGGTGCCAACACGATGTCCCCAAACCCAGAGCTAGGAAGAGATTTGCAGCAGCACACCGTTATGTGGCGTTTCCACCAAACAGGTTCAGTGGATGTAAATAACCTCAAAAGCATGGGAAAGAGAAAACTGCAGCAAAATAATTCAGAAGTGATGAACTTCTTTTTATTTTATTGTGATAAAACAGACATGACATAAAAGTTACCACTTGAACCATTTTTAAGCGTACAGTTCAGTAGTGTTAAGCACACGGTGATGGATTCAAGTGGTTATTACTTTTGTTCTCCGCATAATTTATTGAACTATAAATTTACATAATTACATTTTTTAAAATTTTGTGTGTGTGTAAGATTAGCCTTGAGCTGACATCCGTGGCCAATCTTCCTCATTTTTTTTTTTTGCTTGAGGAAGATTAGCCCTGAGCTAACATCTGTGCCAATCTTCCTCTACTTTATATGTGGGACGCTGCCACAGCATGGCTGATGAGTGGTGTAGGTCCACGTGGGGAGTCTGAACCCTGAAACCCAGGCAGCCAAAGCGGAGCATGCAGAACTTTAACCACTCAGCCATGGGGCCGGCCCCCTATACAATTATATTTTTGACGATGGCTGCATTTAACAACCAGCTCGCGAAATTCCTGAACATTCGACAGTAGGCTCTTGCTAGCCGGGAGGAGCTGGCTCTGCCCGCCTTGGTGTCTCTTCAGAGCTCCCTCTGGCCTCAGAGTCTGGGTGTGTGCTCCCATGTGCCTGCGTGTAACTTCACACATCTCCATGCCTAATGCTGTGTGTGCCTGTGTACCCACCTGTCTCTGAGCATGCCCTGTGTGCACCCAGGGGTCTCTGTGGGTACACCACTCTGTCGGCACACCCCCATGTCTCCCTGGACCCACAGGTATCTGCGTACCTGTGAGCTGGGGGCCCATGTCTCTCTGCGTGAACACATGTGCCTGAGCACCCACTCCAGTGATGCACCAGAGCCCGGTCTGAGCATTTCTTCCTAACTCCACACTCAGTGACATCAGGTTGGCAGTTGAGATCAGCCATGATGGGAATGTCTACACCACAGGAATTGGCAAATGCTACACATCGGGGCTTTTTTTTTGGTCAGAGAGGTGGTTGTTAAACATTTACCAGCACACCACGGGACCCAGGGGCCTCCGTGTAACCATGTGTGCCTCTGTCTCCCTGTGTGTGCTCCTGGGTGCCTCTGAGTGCTGTGTCTCCGTGAATACGCAGGACTTGTGTGTCCCCGTGAGTCTGTCTGTGTACCCATGTGAGGCCCCAGCGCCCCGTTCTTCTTCAGCAGTTGATTCCACAGGAAGCTGTCAGGGTGGGGGCAAGGGTGCTGAGGCCTCCCCCCAGCTCCCCACCCTACCTCGTCAGGACACCTGCACTCACAAGACTGAGCAGTGAGGGAGGGTTCCCTGCCTCTAAAACCCAGTCCTGCGGTCCACTCAGACCCCCGCAGCAATCTGCGGCTGGGGAGGGAGGTGCCAGGCAGGCGGGAAGACAGTTGAGGAAGAGGAAGTAGGGGCAGAGTTGGGTCACCCTGCGGTTACCCTGGGTTCTGACCCGTCGATGCTCCCCCTGGGCCGGCTGAAGCCCTATCCATGGCTTGTGGGGGACACGGGAGCTGGTAGCCAGGCTGGGTACCTGCAGCAGCGAGGACACGGCTCCATCTGGTGAGTGACCGTCATTGGGGGGGCCGGGGGAGTGAGGGCCAGATGGACCAACATGGACAGAGCACAGGGGGCCTGGGGGGGCCTGAGGAGCAGCGGACAGACAGACCGTCCACAGTTCCTCTCCATCTCCTGCTCAGCCTGCTTCTCGAGTGGGTGGGGGAAGACGCTTGGCCCCCGTGTTTGTTCTGCGGAGATCTGTGGTCCTAAAAAGTCACCCCAGGGGGCTGGGTCCATGACGGGAAACACGGTAAGACAGAACGATGGAGCCCCTTGGGGCCAAATCTGCATGGGGGACAAGGGACAGGGGATGAATGGGGAGGGCTCCCTGTGGCAGGGTGGCCAGGCAGGTTTTGCTCCTTAAGCTGGAGATTTGGGGAGTGGAGGTAAGGAGGGTTCCCCAGGGACCTCCCTGAGGCAGAATCCAAAGTGTGGAGCTGAGGATTCTGACTTACAAAACAAACTCCCATTGAAGGCTGAAGTCTGAGAGCCAGCCCCGAGAATGGCCTCCATCCAACCTTCCGAGGTCATCCAAGGAGGAGGACCTTCCACCGGGCAGCCCTCCAGGCTGGGACCCTCCCCATGGGGAGGCGCCCCCTGGTTCCCACCATGGCCCACCTCCGGGAGCCACTTCACACGCCCGGCTGCTTGGGGTGGGGCGAGATGAGACGAGGAAGGCTGTGGTTTGTGCAAGGCACACCCAAGTCAGCTGCTTCCTCCTGGCCCCCGTGCCACACGGCCTACAGGAGGCCTTCATGTGCTCTGGGTCTGGGAAGTGGCCCAGGAGCAGCCAAGAGGGGTTGAATTTGGAGTGGATGGTTGGGGCCAGGGAGGATGGAGCTGGTGAGTTGCGCTGGGTCATATCGGGGGAGGCCTTGAATGCCGCACTCAGGGGGCTGATTCTCCGTGACGCTCCGCTGGCCCAGTCACTTGCGGTTCTGAGGAAAGGGGCTTAACAACCAAACGCAGCCAAGGGAGCACTGCCCCCACCATCAGCCACCTTCGAGAGCCCCTCTGGGAGGGCTTCCTGGCAGAGGCAGGCTTTTCACTGGATTTCAAAGCACCAGTGGAATGTTAACCGCAAACCCACCAGTGTGTCTGGTCTGGATCATTCTCCACGTGTCCACTGGCCCCCCCAGCCCCTGACACAGGGCTGGACATGTGCCAGTGCTCAGTACTGTTGAAGATGATAGGATCTCTGTGGCGGCCCATTGCAGGTTCCAATCCGGGCTGCCCTGCCTCTGTGTGGCCGTGGGCAAGTGACCGCCAATCTGGCCTTCCTTTTGCTCCTCTGTGAAAGGGTTGTCATAGGCCTTGCATGTAAAACCTTTGCACAGCGCTCGGCACACAGCTTTTGTTGTGGTGCCATCAAGTGGATTCCCACTCCCAGCAACCCTGTGGACAGCAGAGCAAAACCTGCACCGTCTTTTTCCTCCATCCTCTCCCCTTCCGGTGCTCTATCAGATGATGTTCTGCTGCTATTCATAGGGTCTTTATGGCCAGTTCTTTGGAAATGGGTGGCCAGATCTTTCTTCCTAGTCTGTCTTAGTCTGGAAGCTCCACTGAAACCCGTTCACCATGGGGGACCCTGCTGGTGTTTGAAATCCCAGTGGCAAATCTTTCAGCACCACAGCAACACGCAGCTGCCACGGAATGACAACCGCAGCTGGGTGGTGAGGTTCCCTGACCGGGAAACGAACCTAGACTGTGGCAGTGAGAGGGCCAGATCTCAACCACTAGACCACCAGCATGCAGTAGCAGCTCAGGAAACCTTGTCAGCCTTGCCCATCCTCTCATACTCTGTCCCCGTCCCAAAGCTTTGCTTCCCTGAGCAGTCTCATCCACGCAATGCGTGTGCGCCCTTTGAACCTTCCTGTGCCACACCTGAAACGAGGCACTAATGGTGGAGACCAATCTCTATCAGGTATGCAGGGTGGGCTGACCTGAAAGGAGACTAAACAGAGATGCAACCATCTCCTTGGACTCAGCTTGAGGTCTGGTCTTCAGGACAGGTGGGGTTTCAGCTGCCATAGAAGGGTTGGAACACAGCAGTGGGGTTCATCTGAGAAGATCCCTTGGGAGCCCTCATGGAGAAGCCACCAGATTGAAGGGGAGAGACTGGGGACAGGGAGACGCTCTCAGGAGGTGATGACACAGATGGAGGAAGAGGACTGGGGGCAGGACTTGAGGACCGTTTGGTGGCTCTAGAGGGGGTTCAGGTCCAAGGGCAGTCCAGGACAAGGTGCTGATTTCACTTTGAATGATGGGATGGAGGTGGGAGGATTGGTTGATTTGGGAGAAGCTGTGTTTGAGATGTTTGCTCCTTAATCTCCCTGTGTCTCAGTTTCCTCATCTGTAGAAGGGGAATGATGGAAGCACCACTACCATCTCCCCACCACAGGAGGGTTGTGAAGACTAAATGAGCTATTGATGTAAAACGCTTGGACCAGTGCCTGGCACAACATAAGCTCTAGTTAAATGTTAGATTGTGTCGCTATTACTTTACCCCTGGTGAAGGCTGGCTTGACCCACACACCTGGCCTCCTAGTTGGCATCCCCTCCCATTGACCAGGGTCTTATCTGTACCTACACCTACCCACCTGGACTTCAGGCCCACATGCTCCTCCAGAATCTTGCCTCTCCCCATCAAGAGGAGGAGTCAAGGTGGAATTCCCTCCCCTTGGACCTGGACAGTCCTTCATGATTCCCTCAACTAATAAAGTCCAGCAGAAGCGATACTAGATCATAGATGAGGTAGCTTCTGTGTGGCGCTCTCTCTCTCTCTCTCGGGACGTGCACCTTTGGAGCCCTGAGCCTCCAAGTTAGAAGCCCAGGTTCCCTGAGGATACCGTGCAGGAGAGACTATGAGAAAAGACCACCTAGAGATCAAGAGAGATGCCCAAGGAGGCCCAGCTGTGTGAGTCTTCCCAACCACGTGAGCAAAGATGCCTTCTAGATGCTCCAGCCCCAGCCCATGTCTGACTTAGAATCTCATGAGCGATCTCCAAGCCAAAACCACCCAGTCAAGCCACGCCTGAATTCCTGTCCCATAGAAATCTTGAGAAATAATAAATGATTGTTCTTGTTTTAATCCACTAGGATTTGGAATGATTTGTTGTGCAGCAATAGATAACCAGAGCACCCTGCATTGCACCCCAAAACTTAGTAGCTGAAAACAATGGCCACTTATTTAGCTCATGATTTCTTGGGTCAACTGGGTGGCTCTCCTGGCCTGAGCCAACTCAGAATATCTACTGGATTCACTAATAGATTCATGGGATCCTGTCATGAGGGCTTCTCAGGAATCTGCTCTTTCTAGGGACCAGGACACCATTGCGTCAAGAGAGGGTACCCTTATGAAGATGGCAGTCACCATCAACAAGATGGTGAAAGACCTCACTAAGATGGCAGAGACTTTCATTAAGATGGTGATGCCCTGAGTGACATGGAAGATGACCTCACCAAGATGGTGGATGCCCTCACCAACATGGTGGCTATCTCCACCAAGATGGTGGTTCCTTTTATCAAGATGGAGCATATTCCATACCCTGCACCACCATCCAGACTCTCCATCTGCTCTTTCCACCATCTACTAACACCCAGGACCAGGAGACCACCCTTTGGCAGACCAAGGGACTATTTATAATGTATGATAACTAGCATCAGGCTCAGGGGAGACAATCCAAGTGGTACATGTCATCAGGGTCCCCTTCTGGTCCATACACACAATAAAACCAGAACATTTTAACTTGAGACATTCAAGGTCACTTGGTCCTCTGCCTGCAGTTACTCCCATCCATGCAAATCCACCCATCCTTCCTCCTCCCCACAGCTGCACAATCAGCCCAACAGCTCAAGGTGGGAACCACATGTTCCTAGTCCAGTTACTCTAGCAACACTGTGGTCAATTCGGGTCCTAGTGAAATAAGAGATATTAGGCAGTGGAACCATAGTAGAAGCCGCCTCTCAAATCTATCACTTGCTATATGTATCTTGACCCCAGGCATGGAGGGGATACCTGGAAACATCCCTGTGTCTCATTATTTTGTACTTTTAACTCCAGCACTTGTATCTTCTGTTGCTATTGTCTGTTTTCCTTCCTGGTTTTGGGTGATGAGGTTCTGTCTCCTGGCGTGCTACTTTTTTCGGTTGAATGCCAGATATCATTTATGAAAATCTGAAGATATCATTGGTGGCTCTTCGTGGTGGTATTTTCGTCCAGAGAGGACTTACTTTCACTTCTGGCAGGCAGGAAGAGTAAGGGAAGATCACTTTAGTCTAATCAGAGATTAACTGACTTGAAGCTGGCTTTTGGTTTTGGTGAAGGTTGGTCTATTTCTGGTCCCCCCTTGCTCGTAGAGTGTAGTCTTTTGGGGGTCCCAACTCTCTCCTCTTTGTGGGCTCTGAATTCCAGTGTCTGTTTCTCCAGCCCCAGAAGATTGCCAGAAGCTATACTCAGCTTCTCAGCCTCTTTCTGGTCTGCTCTGCAGTCGCTTAAAAACTGCATTCATATCAATAACTTGCTTGTGAGAAAAAAGCACTGCACTATGTCCATCTCACCTCTCTTGGTTTCTCTTCCTCCCAGAATCCTGGCCCCTCCAACCCTGGGGTTTAAATCCCCATAAGCTGTTCTCTGGATTTCTAGAATGTGTCTGGCTGTTTGTGCATAATTGTGTGTGTGTGTAAACATACGTCTGATTATTTGTGTGTGTGTGTCTGCCATTGTCTACATGTGCTGGAGGGTGTGTGGGTGTTGGCATATAGAGTGTGTGTTTTTATGTCTTTCTGTGAGTGAAAGATTTGGGGGCCACCTGCTCATAATATGAGAGCTGAAGTCATAAGGATGGTGCAGGCGGGGTCACCAGGGCCAGTGGGGAGAGCACGAAGTGGCTGGTGACAGAGCCCTGGGGACACAGAGTTTCAAGGTCAGGCAGAGAAAGGAAGATGAGCCAAGTCAGAAGGGAGACTGAGAAGGAGCAGGCAGAGGAAGGAAGGGTGTGTGGCATCATGGGAGGATTTGATTTCAAGAAGGGAGTGGTCAGAGGTGTCCGGTAAAGGCGAGACTTACAAGCGCCCATTGGATTTAGCCTCAGAGAGAGCTAGAAGACTGGGGCGGATGGAAATAAGACTGCAGTGGGCTGTGGAGTCGAGTAGGTGTGAGTAGGTGAAGACAGGAGTGTGGATAACTCTATGAGAAGGGAGGGAGGAGATTGAGAGCTCACTGAAGAGAGAAGTGACAGCCAGGAGTTTTGCAGACACGAGTGACAATGCAAGTAAGGAAGCGTCCACCACCAGGGGGCAGCACTTGCACGGACGGGTGCTGGCTGACACCCACGCAGACACACACCCCACTCCATACACACAGAGATAAAGACACAAATACACGGGCACACAGAAACCCAGGCAGACCAAAACCCCCTAACAGACATCGGAAGATCTCCCCAAGTCCCGATGAGTCCTGCAGATCCAACCTCACAGATAGCGATGGGCATCCAGACACACAACACGGGAACGCAGCGATTCCAAAAACCAACTGGATAATACCATTCAGCCATAAAAAAGAGGGAAATCCTTGCACTTGCAACAACACAGATGAACTTTGAGGGCATTATGCTAAGTGAAATAAGTCAGACAGAGAAAGACAAATCCTGTACGATCTCACTTAGATGTGAAATCTGGAAAAAAAACAAAACCTCAGAAAATGAGATCAGATTCGTGGTGACCAGAGGTGATATAAACTTCCCGTTATAGGATAAATAAGTCCCGGGGCTGTAACGTACAGCCTGTGACTATAGTTAACACTGCTGGATGGTATATTTGAAAGTTGCTCTCATCACGACAAA